CCATTGCGACACACAGCATAAGGACAGGTGTGTGCCACATGCCTGCAACATCTGCTTGCTTGCCACCTGTCCCCCTCAGAAGACATATCACGTAGGGGCACCTAAGGGAGACGGGGGCAGTTTTCAGTACAAGTGCTCAGACCACAAACAATAAAACATGATTCCCTCCACCCATGGTGATTTGTGGGTCCCTCCGCCACAGTTTCCCTGACATGCTGGTGGTTGGGAGAAGGGAACTCAGAATCTGCAAGCAAGCAATCCCTCTCCCCTCACCCATTCCCAGACTCTGATAGAAGCCAGGGACACCATCCCTATACATCCTGGCTAATAGCCATTGATGGACCTAACCTCCAGGAATGTATCTAGTTCTTTCTTGAACACTGTTAAAGTCCTGGTCTTCACAACCGCCTCTGGCAAGGAGTTCCACAGGTTGACCGTGTGCTGCATGAAGGAAAACTTCCTTTTGTTTGCTTTAAACCTGCTACCTATAAATCTGCGAGTCTAGGGCAATTACTTCCAGCAGCATTAAGGGGAGGGAAAGTGTTCTCTTGGGGCTGCCTTGCATTTTGCACGCCTCACAGTGGAAAGGCCTTCAGCCCAGCCTCCACACGGGCAGAGAGGCTTTTGCGGGTGAGACGATGGAAAAAGAGAACACGTTCATGTTCAGCGAGATAATGAACACCTCCGGGACAGCAGGGATGGAGCTCAGAGCCTGGAGGATTTCAGTGTCTAAAAACCTGGACATGGACTTGGGGAGCAAGCCAGGAGCATGTGCGGGCCACGCAGGAAGAGATGCTGCGGGTGAAGAGGAACCAGCCGGACATGCTGAGGCATCGGGTTGAGCTTCAAGAAAACCACTTGAGGCGAGATGCCGTCTGCAGAACAGCCTGCCAACATCGACCTATTCCCGACCCCCCTCTCCCCTCAAATGGTCTCTTCCACTCAACAACGGGGGAGGGAACTCAGAACGCGTAGCAGCCAATCAAAGACCTTTGATGGGCCAGACGTCTGTGCTTTCACGGACAAGTCGACTCGATTTCTCCCCTCCCAGTTTGATCCCACCATTTGCCCCCCGTTAAATGATTTCCCTGGGTTTTTTTCAGTTTCTTTGTGTGTGCAATAGCAGTGGGGGTTTTGAGAAGGAAATGCTCTTTCAGTATTCCAAGCATGAAGTCGCTGGGGAGTGGAAAGGAGCAGGGAAGCTGCTGCAAAGAAGGAGATGGCATGAGAAGGGCCAACACAGATAAGCCAGGCTCGTTACTGTGGGTCGTTACTGGACTAACATAACATAAGAACGGCCATACTGGGTTACACCAAAGGTCCATCCAGCCGAGTGTCCTGTCTGCTGAAAGTGGCCAATGCCAGGTGCCCGAGAGGGAGTGAACTGAACAGGTAATGATCAAGCGATCTCTCTCCTACCATCCATCTCCACCCTCTGACAAACAGAGGCTGGGGACACCATTCCTTACCCAGACTGGCTATTAGCCATTAATGGACTTAACCTCCATGAATTTATCTCGTTCTCTTTTAAACCCTGTTATAGACCTAGCCTTCACAACCTCCTTAGGCAAGGAGTTCCTCAGGTTGACTGTGCACTGTGTGAAGAAGAACTTCCTTTTATTTGTTTTAAACCTGCTGCCCATAAATTTCATTTGGTGGCCCCTAGTTCTTATATTATGGAAACAAGTAAATCACTTTTCCTTATTCACTTTCTCCACACCACTCATGATTTTATAGACCTCTGTCATATCCCACCTTAGTCTCCTTTTTTCCAAGCTGAAAAGTCTTGGTCCCTTTAGTCTCTCATATGGGACCCATTTCAAACCCCTAATCATTTTAGTTTCTCTTCTCTGAACCTTTCCTAATACCAGTATATCTTTTTTGAGATGAGGCAACCACATCTGTGTGCAGTATTCAAGATGTGGGTGTACCATTGTTTCTAATTCTCTTAAGGCAGCGCAGCATGCAAGCAAAAAATACAAAAACAAAGCCAATATAATGATGATAAAAGCTTCGTCCACAGACAGCCCCTCTATGGTTATTTCAGGCAGCTGGTGGAGTTAGTTATTAATCTACCTCTACAACTTAATAACTCCTGGGTTACTATTTTTAACACTTATACTTAGCCTAAATATAACACCACTACACAACACAAGATTATACAATTTACACAGTGTGGTTAATAGAACTCAGTTACACTTTACAGAATTACACAGTGAAATTAACACGATTCAACTGTTAACTAAACCAATAACTAATATATTTAAGCAATGCTTACAAATTCAGCAACGATAACAGCACAAAGACACACTAGAACTCGGAGCATGCTCAGGACTCACGCACCCCTATCTTTGACTCGAAGGGTGGGGAGGCGGCCTCAGGGTGATCAATCCTTCAGCTGGGCAAAAAAAGACACGGGCCCTCAACACTCGGAACCTCGCCGAACAAAGGGGTCGAGGTTCTTTTATAACATAACCTGATATCCGGTACCTTATTAGGATTTGTTCCCTGGCCGGGCCTGATAGGCTGGTAATGAGGTAATGTGCAATATTGCCCTATAGGATTTTTCATGATGCCCTCCTGATGGCCCCATGGACAGTGCCAAGTGCGGGCATAGTCAGTGTGCATGGCAGTTGCGTCTTAGCTCCCTATGCCTACCTCCCTACCTTCAAGGACTGGTCAAGAGAGTCTTAACTATTTCTTGCAGCTGTGTTTTATCTTTTCATGCTCACCTCCCTATTTTTCAGAGCCTGTAAGTCCCAGGATGCCTGTAAGATTAAATTCCGTTTACAGAAAGCTGCATTGTGCTGCCCATGCTCCTCTGAGTATCTCACGGTCTGGGTTTTCTGTGAGGGGCCTTGTGTAGCAGGATGGGCTATACGCGAAGGCCATGGTCAGAGAAAGCCTGCTTTACAACAAGCAAGGGTACAGATGAAAGTTCTCACATCTCTGAGTTGGAGTATTGTGTCCAGTTCTGGGCACCACATTTCAAGAAAGATGTGGAGAAATTGGAGAAGGTCCAGAGAAGAGCAACAAGAATGATGAAAGGTCTAGAGAACATGAGCTATGAGGGAAGACTGAAAGAACTGGGCTTGTTTAGTTTAGAAAAAAGAAGACCGAGAGGGGACATGATAATGATTTTCAAGTATGTAAAAGGGTGTTACAAGGAGGAGGGAGAAAAATTGTTCTCCTTGGCCTCTGATGATAGGACAAGAAGCAATGGGCTTAAATTGCAGCAAAGGAGGTTTAGGTTGGACATTAGGAAAAACTTCTTAACTGTCAGGATGGTTAACACTGGAATAAATTACCTGGGGAGGTTGTGGAATCTCCATCTCCGGAGATATTTAAGAGTGGGTTGCATAGACATCTATCAGGGTTAGTGTAGATGGTGCTTTGTCCCGCCATGAGGGCAGGGGACTGGACCTGATGATCTCTCAAGGTCCCCTCCAGTTCTAGGATTCTATCACTGCAAAACCCTCCACTACATCCTCCACGTTGCTCAGAGTCCCTGCCCTTCTTAGCAAAAGTCATTTAATGGCCCTGCCCCTGCCCGCTTGGATCACAACAGCTTCCGTGGGTGGATTTGCCAACTCTGAATTGATTTCCGACTGACCGGCAGCAATCTGGCATTATTAGCTTCCTCGGAGAAATCACCACTCGCTTCTTCGCTGCCAGAGAAGGTCTCGCTTTCGTGTTGCCGCACTTCAGGGCCAGGGAAAATTCTACACAAAGTTCCTGGAAAGTGGCCTTCTGCATTCACTGCCCATCCTCCTATAGCTGTGTAACAGGGTGATTCCCACCAGTCGCTGCTTGTTTTCCGGGATGAGGAACGACGCTCCAAGGTGTTCAGCTGCTGGGTGACAGCCAGCGGCAGCCGGGTGTTGTTTGCAGCGGGTCTACTTGCATGGCATCGCATTGTTCTGCGTATGTGATACTCAGCTCTGAAATACTGCAGGAGAAGGCGCGAGGTGTTTGTAACAGAGTTGTTGACTCGAGTCCCACAACTTGAACTCAAGTCGGACTTAAGTCGCCTAGGTGACTTAACTTGAGACTCTACTCGGGTTCATTGTTTGTGACTTGAGACTTGATAATTTTGTTAAATCAACTTGGTGAAAAAATTGTCCGAAAATGCCGTTGTTGTTAGTAACAAACCACCCACAGCGGCGATCATGGCCCTGCATCCCAGCTGGACTACTAGTAGTTAGCAAGTACAATTTATGTTAATAAATGAAAACAGATAGTGATTATTTTTATTTATCAATACTGATGGCTTGTACAAAATTGACTTGACATTTTTTAAATTAAGAGTTGAGACTCGGCTTGGGACTTGACTTGAACGTGGCTTGAGGGACTCGAGATTCGACTTGAGACTTGAACTGTAGTGACTTGAGACTCGACTTAGACTTGACAATGACGACTTGAAGGCAGCACTGGTTTGTAATGCTCACAAGAGAGCACAGTTGAGCATCGTCCGTGTTTCTCGGGCAATGGGGCGAACCCCGCCACGCCAGGCTTTCAGAAATAAAAGTCACAATAAAGGACGGGTTGTTTGCCATTGAGGTGAAGGTGGGGAGGGAGGGAGAAAGGTCAAAGCCATGTCCCTCCCCCCACAACAATGTTTTGGCCCCATGAGGCTTTGCAAGCCCTTCCCAAAACCACCCGGGGCTAGTTGCATTGTGGGATAGCTACCACAGCGCACTGCTCTGCTGGTGAAGATGCACAATGAGCGTGGACCTGCCCAGCTGACTTAACCACGTCAGTGGCTGGCAGGAGACTGCGTGGGTGTGTCGCCGTGCCCCGTCCTTGGCGGTCTGTTCACGGGTGACTCGGCAGGATTGCAGCAAAGTGCTTGTAATTCTGAAGGGAAACCCGTCCTCGGCCCGAAAGCACCTTCCAGCCGAAAGCTCTGCTCTGGCCCGCTGGGGCTCATTTTCACCTTCCTGTTTCATTGCAGCCTGCCAAAGCCAATTCTCCTCTTCTCTCTTTCTGCCCCTTTGCAGCTCAGGTTCCAGACAGCGATGAGCAGTTTGTGCCTGACTTTCACTCAGAAAACCGTAAGTACCGGGGGAAACGTGCGGGAGGGGGAAAGGGGGCAGGAGATGCTTGAACCGAACTGATCTATCAAGGATAAGATCACCAAGGCCAAGCAAAGGCACCAGCTCCCCCCTGCATAACCCAAGGCAAAGGGACAGTGCCCACCTCTCCCCTTCTGGCCAAGACAAAAGCACCCCTTTGGCACATTTCCCCACCACAAAGATGCTAAGGGCTGCTGGTTGGTGGTAGATGTGGGGGGGCGGCGAACGCCCAGCAGCTACAGCAGGTTATTGGCATGAGCAACGCCTTCCCCTAGATCAGGGCTACTCAATTTTGGAAGCCCCGGGGACCCCAATGTTATGCACAGCACACGCCGAGGGCCGCAACTTAAGTGTGGTTGCATCTACGTGCAAATATATATGCAAATATATGCAAATAGCTTTTTTCACACTGACGGGCATGAATACAAAGATTCAGCCTTAAGCCGTAGTGCTGGACCTAAACGTGGCCAGTGTGAGCCAGACAGGACCTCTCAGGCTCTGCCCACAAGGCTAAGCAGCCAACACTTCCCACAATGCCCCGGCACTCCCAGCACCTTCTCCCTGGGGCTAGAAACCCGACACCCTGTACCCATCTGTTCCAGCCAGCCCGTCCGCTTGCATCTGTCAACGCTCGCCCCGCCTAGGAGATGCCTTGCCATTGTGGAGCATGTTCCCAGTGGAGACCAAAGGGCACTGCACCTTTAAATAGCCCCATGCTCCCCATACCATACATGGTAGGGGAAAATTGTCCCCACCAGGCTTTCATACAAGGGAAACAGGAAATACCGGACATTTCATATGTCCAGTATTTGCTGGTTTTTTTTGTTTTTTTTCTTTAACCGGACAGGGGACCCAAATAACAGACAGTCGGGGCAAAAACCGGACACCTGGCAACCCAAATTCTCCCTGGAGGGAGACTAGGGAAGATAAAAAACGGGGGAGGAATCCCTCTTTATTTTTGGTTATAATCATGGGACTCAGTCCAGCCAGCCTCCACCTCCGAGTGCTGAATAGGCCCTAAGGATCATCACTACTCGCTAGCTGGGGACCCAGATGCAAGGTGACCCAGGCTGGGAAGAGAGCCCCGGAATTCCTGTCTCCATGCTCCATCCCGTTCTCCACTCCAGCAGGCCCCTGTGCTGAGCTCCGCTTGCGTACGTGGCAAGTGGGTGGTATTAGGAGGGCCTAGCTGGATTCTCATCTGCATGGGCAGTGGGTGACAGTCCAGCTGGGGAAGGCAAGCCCCAGCCCCACCCCTCCTGCCTCTAGAGCCAAGCTCCGCCCACCTCCAGCCCCATGCTTCCTGGCCATGTGGAAGGCAGGGCCAGCTGTGCTTCCACTCTGGCCTGGCCCTTCCTGGTGGCCGGGGAAGCAGTGGCCTTCCCCGGTGACGACCCCAGCCTTTGACAGCTGGGGCGTGTCGGCAGTTTTGGGAAGGCTGTGCCTTCCCTTGCCTACATTACCGGCCACCCATGTTCATATGACTTAACCATGTAACTGGGAGCCCTTGCCTGTCCCATCCGGTCAGAGCCCTGGCCTGTCCCATCCAGTCAGAGCCCTGGCCTGTCCCATCCAGGCTAGGTTGGGCGAGACTCACATGAAGCCACTGTTGCGAGAAGCGAGGCTGCGAGCCAGAGCCTGGCTTTCCCCTGGTGTGTTTGGAGCGGGGGGAGGTTCCTGCGTGGGACCATCTCACCGTAACGGAGAACGGAGGGGAGAGGGAAGTGTCCAGCCCTTCCAGGGAACCCTTCCCCCTTTCCGTGTTGGCCCATGAAGAAAAGGACAAAGCGCTTTTTTTCGGCTCCCCCCCCTCTCCCTGGGCTTTGGCCTTGCAGCACCGGCCCAGCGGGCGCACGGTCATATGACTTCTCTCTTCCTCCGGGCTGACCCGGAGCTGAGGCGAGGGCCGGTCCCATGTTTCCTTCTGAATGAATGAGCCAGTTGTAATGTGAGAGCCCGTTCCAGCTCGTGGGGGCCGGAAAGGGTTGGCCGCTCCTAGCACACTTTGCTTCATGAGGCTTGAATGGAGCTCAGTGTGCTGAGGGGAGGAGAGGGGGGGATATGACTTCTCTCTTCCTCCGGGCTGACCCGGAGCTGAGGCGAGGGCCGGTCCCATGTTTCCTTCTGAATGAATGAGCCAGTTGTAATGTGAGAGCCCGTTCCAGCTCGTGGGGGCCGGAAAGGGTTGGCCGCTCCTAGCACACTTTGCTTCATGAGGCTTGAATGGAGCTCAGTGTGCTGAGGGGAGGAGAGGGGGGGCTTCTCTCCGTAGACAGCTGGTTCTATCGTTTCTGTTGACTCTGACACACGGCTTGAGCTGTCCCAGACAGAAGGGGAAGGGGTGGACAGAGACATGTCTCCTCCGCCCCTGCTGCCAGGAGCGGTGCTGTTGGCACAGATGTCGTGCGTCCGACCCTGAGTCACTCCCAGGTGTGGGGCAGGCCCCACGGCAGGAACTCGCTCCTCTTCAGGCTGAGCCAGGAGAAGGCCACTTGACGGGGACCGCTGGCCACCTCAGAGGTGGCCGCAGGATCAAACCCTCCCCCAGAGGGAGTGGGCGCCTGCCGGAGCAGGTGTATTTATTTGTGTGGATTTCTACCTGGCGGGCTGGGTCCCTGGAGATTCTGCCGTGAGGAGCAAGCCCACCAGGGCCTCGCCTCAGGGCAGGCAGCCAGAGGAGGGCAAGGGGGCATCTACATTGTGCTCTCTTGCACAAGAATATATGCTCATTTGCATACTTAATGAGCCGCCATTTTTGCACAAGGGGCTTTTGCGGAAGAAGGAGCCGTGTTTGCGCACAACCTCCCTCTTGCGCAAGACCCGTTCTGCCTGAAAACAAGCGGCAGAACGGCTCTCGCGCAAGAGGGATGTTTTGCGCAAGACGGAGCCGTGTAGACGGCTCCTTCTTCCGCAAAAGCTCCTTGTGCGAAGATGGCATCTCATTAAGTATGCAAATGAGGCACGGCGATATTCATCGCCGCGCCTCATTTGCATATGTTTTAGCGCAAGAGAGCGCAATGTAGACGTAACCCTAGCGGTGCTCCGGGTGCCCGCCGCTCTCAGAACGGTTGCCCCCTCCTTCAGGTCCCAGACTCGGGCATCTTCTCATTGATGGCCACTCCCCTCACCTCCACAGAGAGGCCTCTAGCGTCTAACCGATAAGGTCCCACCTTGGAAGAAGGCCAGGTCTCTGCTGTGGCAGCCGGAGAGCCCTCTGTGGTGCCCTGCGCCCAACCTCTGTCCTCAGCAAGGGCCCTGACGAGCGTACAAGCCTCAGGGAATGACTCTGTTCCCCTCCTGGGGTCCCTGGACTGAGACTTTACATGGCAGCCTCCAGGCGCCAACAATCCCAGCCCTTCTTCCCCGAGCTAGGCCCCAGGCCAAAGTCTCTCAGGCGTTAGCTGGCAGGAGCTCAGCCTCTCTCAGCTCCCTGGCTTCCAGTCCCGAACCTTCCTCTGGCAGCGTCCCTGCCATTCCTTGCTCCCAAACCCCTTGGGCTCCGGGTCTCTGCCCTGCAGGAGCCTTTCACAATTTCCCTGCCCCATCCTGTGTTTCCCCCTCGCTTGGTAGCCTCCTGATGCTCTTCTGAGGCAGTCCCCCTGCTCTCTTCTCCCCGGTGTGGCTCCTTCTGGAGTCTGGGCTCCTTGCAGCTCCTGAGGGAGGGAGCCACCCTACTGCAGCCGCGAAGCCATTTCTACCCCAGGTCGGTTGTTTGTGGGGAGTCCAGGACAACATCTGCAGCATCTCGCAGAACGGGAGAGAAACAGCCAGGGGCCGGCAGCATGAACCCAGCATGCCACCGTGTCATGGCTCTAGATTTCGGGTGCGTGGGACTGACAGCGGCACGGCCTCCAAGCGTGTTTCCGGCAAGAACTGCTCAGGCAAATGGGGACGTTTGTCCCGAAAATGTTCACTAGCTGAAAAGAGAACAAGCCCGTCTCCTGGAGAGCCCTCGACGGCAGGCTGCTGGGGGCTAAGGCAAGAGGAAGGCACGAAGCTGCCTCCCCGTGCAGCGGAATAGCAAATAGCCGGCTGGCCACGATGGAAATAAAAAACGTGGGCAACTCTTGGCAGTACACGCAGCCTGGCAGCTGGGGCATCGCTCTTGCTGTTCCTGGGGAGGGTCTCAAGGAGCTTGTTCTCCCACCTCTGGAGCCCTCAGGAATTTCACAATTTGCTCTGACCCCATCTTGGAGGGGGCCTTGCTCCCTTGCAACAGGGCAGGGTGGACGGCACACCAGGAGAGCTGTGTACGGCTGGCAAAGGACCAGGTATGAAGTTGACTGGCCAGTGAATGTCTCCGGTTCCTTAGTGCTAAAATAAACCTGTCGCAGATCAGTGCTTCACCTTGCTTGGGATTTTACAGCAACTTTAAGCCCCTGAACATCCCCTCCCCCCGGGAAGGGACATGGAACTGGCAAGAGTGGGTGGAATTTTTTACTCTGAGGCTAAGTCTACACTGCAGGTTTTTTGCGGAAGAGGAGATGCCAGTGGCGTGCTCATTTGCATATCTTGCATGCTCATTTGCATATCTTCCTCCGATCCTTTTTGCAGAAGAGGTTTTGCTGTTAAAAAGTCCCGTGTAGACGGGGCCCTTTGTTGGGAAAAAAACTTTTTGCGCAAGATCCCTTAGTCCTCAAAAATCGAGGTTTACAGGATCTTGTGCAAAAGGGTTTTTTTCCCCAACAAACGGCCCCATCTACATGGGGCTTTTTAACAGCAAAACCTCTTCCGCAAAAAGGATTGGAGGAAGATATGCAAATGAGCATGCAAGATATGCAAATGAGCACGCCATTGGCATATCCTCTCCGCAAAAAACCCACCGTGTAGACGTAGCCTGAATGACCTGCATGAGGATCAAACGTAAACCGGGCCCATCTCTCTGCACCGAGCCCCTCCACCCCATCTGCCTCTTCTCCCCTTTCCTCCCCGCTCCTCGTTCAGTGTTCAAACTGGGGCCAGTGCAGGTGGCTCTTTCC